TGATACGACGTTTTAAAGGACTACAGTCAATCAATTATCAAGAAAATAATTTTAGATTAATAAGTTTAATTTCAAATAAAAATAATCAACTCGATGTTAAGTCTGATCGATTACACAATTCTGCAGACATTTTCATATCAAATAGAAACTAAAGTATAAGTGATTTGCAGTAAAGATGGTGATGCTGAGGATTATAATTTGGAAATGTGTGTAGCTAGTAATCTGAATTACACTGCATATCTAAAACCACAGCAACATAAAAGGAAACTGACCTTGACCACCTGGACCTTGACTTTTGTTAAAACTGACACATTCTTGAGAAAATTAATGCATCAATCCTCATGTTGTTTCTAACCTGTGATGACTTATTTACTGATTGTCTTTTTGCCACTAGGTGTCAGAGTGAAACTGCCTGGACAGTTTGTAACAGCTGTCTATTTCAAAAGTGCTCCATAAAGTTTTTATTATTATTTAGAAATAACAGCCTCAGAATACAGTCAGTGGCCTCGGTAATTAACTATGCTGTGGAAATAAGTTGAGCATTGCACACCTACAATATGTAACAGCAGTTGTGTGGTCAGTTGTTTACTAATGTTGTAATATCCTTCCTACATCATCACAGATGGAGTTAGAATCGTGTTTCCAGTTGGACCAGTTTCAGTCACTGCTCTTGCCGGAGAACAACCGGCCTCTAGAGCCCAGTGTCCTGCTGGCACTCAAAGAGCTCTTCAACCGCTCTAACGCCAACACAACTGCTCTCCACATGCTCAGTGTTGACTGCCAGGTAGCTCTCAACTTTAACTTAGTCAAGTTGATCTTCAGAATCAATATATGCTTTATTTGTGTTGTTTATACACCTGATAAATGCAATGCAAAACAAATATGCAACATCCTAACAACTTTTCAGATCAAATGCAAATAATAGGCTAAAACTACCATATTCCTTATGATTTAAATTGCTTCAGATTGCATTTCAGTCCTTATGCCCAATCATATTTTTTTGTATGTTAAATCTTGAACTGAGGGTGTGTGGAAATCCCTGTTTTGTGCTCCAGCCATCTTGGAGTATCTTAAAATTATAAATTGAAACTGAAACATGTTTCAGGCACCAGGCTATTGCTTTGAGATAGACATAAAAATATGTGAACCTATCCTTCACTGTGACGGTCCATTAAGAGATTTTATATTTTCTGCATTCCCTATAAAATAGTGGTTTTCATCCAGGCATACATCACATTACTATGACAAAAAAACCCTCACAGTATCCTGTCAGGAAAGAGATTTTAGAGGGCTGTTACCAAAAGACAAAATTCAGCAGTCTATATCGACATAAAGAAGGGTAGCAATTATATAAAAAATAGGAAATTTGATAAATGGCTTTTATTCTTAGATTTCACAAAAAGTGAAGAATTCACTGAAGTCCAATGATGGTTTGTGAAGTGACGTTTTCATCAAACTCAACAACCCAATTCCCACAAATTGAGAGGAGGTTGAATAATCACTCAGTGAACTGGATGGAAAACCTGACTGGCCATTGATTTGTCATTGTTGTGGTGCTGCAGGTAGCGCGCATCGTTGGGGTGACTGATGAGCAGAAAAGGATTATGGGAGTTGGATCAGGGCTGGAGCTTGTCACTTTGCCACATGGACACCAGTTGCGACAGGATTTGTTAGAAAGGTACATGCAGCTGACAAACTTTATACACAACAGTAGATTAAAGAGTTGGTTGAGATGATAATTGGATCACATTTCAGATGATGTTTGTTCATATTTTCTCATTTATCCCTCGTGGTATCTAGCCATGCAGATATCTTTGGTTTAATTTGTGTAGGTTTTAAGGTATCCATCTCCTTGCTGACGGGATTGCTTAGTTTGGTTTGTGGTGCTGAAAGAATTAGAAAATGTATTTGACAGTGATCAGTGTCCTCATTAACAGTTTTCAGGGGGACTGTTTCTTTGGTAAACAGTAGTTCTGTGTATTATCCAGAGTACCCTGCCCCCACTAAATGTTGCTTCTTTTTTTTACATGCAATTCTGTGGGTACTACAAAATTACTTTCACCTTCATTTTATTGGGGTGGATCGGGGTGGATGGATGCCACTAGTGGGAAGTGAGAAAACTGTCCCTCACCAACTGCCTTATTCTATTGCCTGCTCTCTCAAACACCTCTGATCCATTAATCTTTCAATTTTTAGGCATCATCTATTAGCACTGGGAGTCGCAGTGGACATCCTAGGCTGCACAGGGACTGTGAGCCAGAGGGCAGCCGTTTTACATAAATTAATCTTATTGGCTCAGGCTCTGAAAGAACACGCCCACGACCTCTATTCCTTCTCAGCCGTGATGAAAGCTCTGGAGATGCCTCAGGTGGTGTAATTATTACATATGCTTGCTCAATGCAAACTTAAGCCATGTGGAAGCTGGTTTAAGTTTTTCAGCACTCATGGTACGTTTGTGCATCGACATATGCAGATAATGCGACTGGAGATGACGTGGCGTGCGCTGCGGAGGAACCACACAGAGACTGCGGTTTTATTTGAGAAGAAACTCAAACCCTTTATGAACTTGCTTAATGAGGGAGACGGTGAGTGGTGGACACATAACAGTTATTTGGCTGATGCTTCTGTCCAATGCAACTTTTGTGAAGGAAGTGCCGGCATCGGCTGTTGAGGTGTAGGAAGAGTTGAAATGCAGAACAGGTCGGAGCTGCAGTCAGTTTGTTTGGCTACACTGTAAAATCAAACAGACTGGGGGGGGGGGGGGGGCACAGCTGAAATTGACCCTTGAGACAATCAATCAGACTTTACACAGCTTCCTCTGTAGCCGCAAAGGCTTTATACGACCCTTTTCACATATTTAGTAGGATTCCCTGAAACCTAAAAACTGACTTGGATGTGTAAAATAGGCAAACTTCCCCTTTTTTATAGTGATGGTCTAGGGGTTAAAACACCTGATAGGTTAAAACAAGTGCTTTATAAATAACACAGTGACCCAGTTATTAAATAGTGAATGTATTGGACTGCATTGAGTCATATGTGTACTGTCTTAATATGTTTTTCTGTAGACTCTGTAGTCCAGGGTCCTATAGCCGTACCACACCTTGTTCCTCTGCTGATGACAATGGAGGGTGAGGACCCAGTGGAGAACAGTGAGCGAGGCTGTCAGCTTCTGTATGATGTCCTCCAATCAGCTCGCAGAGCTGCGCTGCATGCACAAGATTATCAGCAGCATGCACACTCTCTGCTCACAGGTACACACATGCATGTACAGTAATGTCTTTTCTTAGAGACAGTGACAGACAATGGGCATCATGCTTTAACAGTACTGTATTCTTATCCTAAATCTTTTCTGTGAGGCTTGTTCGTAAGAGTGTTGCCAGTCAGATTCACCGAACACTCGTCTTAAACTGTGCAAACTTGTCATAAATTATTTGTCTTAACCTGATGAATGTCACCTGTTCATGAAGAGGTGTGTTAATGAGATTTGATTGTTAGCATAAGCAACCCCCCGAAATTGAGTATAAAAAGATTAATTTCACACCATATAGCTTCAAGTCAAAAACATAACCAACTGCACCTTATGAGTAGTGGGTACAGTATTAGAAAATATCAATTAGATGCCAATGACATATCATTAGAGAAGCAATGTACTTGACAGAAATAAAGACAGAATGGTTTGATATGAAGTTGGATGCTTAAAAAGTGGTGACTTAGACAGGAGTTGGTCAAGAGATAGATGAGAGAATATTTTACAGTGGGGGATGTTTCGCTGTCTTTATTATAAAGATGATGTTCTCCTGGACATCAGCTTACATAGATGAGTTTAAGGCAGCTGTTGGAATGGGAGAATTTTCCTAATATTTACTGTTTTGTATGTTGCCATGTTAAAATATGCCAATAAATAAAACATATTGGCATATTTTATATAAAATTCTAAAAATAAAAAACCTCAAATTGGCAGCCTAAAGACAATGATATGGTGAACAGAATATAGTTTCATTACGTTACTATTTATCTAGTATTTATAGTAACTTTTATTTTTGTTGATTTCCGTAATAAATTCATTTAGATTAAGGGATTATACTATGATCCCTTAAGTCTCTCCTGTGGAGAGTGGCAGACTTTCGGTACATGTGAGTTCTGTTTTGTTATCTTACATTAGAAGTATAAGAAAGTTGGTGAATGCAAAGAATTCTCTTAAATCTCATATGTGCCACTTAAGAACAAATCTGTTTGTGCGTGTGTTTCTTGCATGAGGCCCGTTGTAAGGTAGGCACATAACACACTTACTCTGGCAGGAAGCATATGGTATTATACTCAGTGTACATTGAAACAGAAATGACATCATTTGTGTTATCGGATCGGATCAGATGTCAATCACACTGTTTCAGCAGGAGACTGGAAGCCAATCCCTGAGCTGCTGGAGGCTTTCCAGACAGAGTTTGCCCTGAGGCTGTTCTGGGGTCAGTCAGGGGCAGCAGCTGACAGAAAGGAGCGCTACATGAAGTTCGACAAGATTCTTTGTGTCCTCTCTGATAAACTGGAACCCGTGGAGATCACCCCACAACAACCTGACGCTCTAACCTGAGCCTCAGGGCCTGTTTCACTAAGTGAAAGGTGAAATCAGCACTTTCTTCACTAGAAGAACATAAAAAGCAGTGAATAAAGTGAAACATATTAGTTGAGCCTCGTGTTGCAGGAGCTAAGGCAGCGATCACACAGGCAAGGGGAGAAGTTATTTTTGAGATGTGAGAAGGTTAAGCTTATCATGCGACAGTGGATTATTTTTCCTTTTTAAGCAAATATGAAATTGTTTACCCAGAAACTAGCATCTGTTTACTTCTTCCATTGTGCATTTCTGATCAGACAGTTTGGAATCAAGTATACAACAAGTGTTGTTGCTTGACAAAAGGACCAACATGAACACTATTAAAACTAAGTTAGTTCCCTTTGTACATGACCTGCTGCTGTTAGGCAACCACACTGGAAACTGTGTTTTTGATCGTTTCTGATGCAATAAATGTATTTCTTTATTTTTTGCATGTATTATTTCTCATGAATGATTCTAAAAAAGAAACAAAAAAGACAACAAATGTTTTTTCCACTCAAACGATACATGTAAATACATATGTCTTTTTAAAAATGGGTCATACAATAATACCCCTTAAATGTTGAGGAAACATCAACTAGTGCAGGACAGATTGATAGAGAGCGAGATTTTTTAAAGCCCCACTCCACTTGTCTTGGATGTTTGAGCTTTAATGTGCAGAATGGTGTGTTTGTGCAGAGTTTAACACGAGAAGGCTGTTGATCCAGTGGGAAGCTGAATCACAAAACTCCATTTTCCTCCCTTTTAAATCTAACCTGGTGTCATTAATTCTTTGAACATTTTGTAGAACAGGTTATCTGTATTTAAAGTCAGAATAACAGCAAAGATTTTTTAAAATGTCCATTGTTTCAGAGGATTTGAGTGAGATTTAGAGGTCTGGATATGATTATCCACAGCCCTTTCTGGGTTAAAATATCTTCCAAAGTTTATTTGAAGCTAATAGGAGGAAGTTTAAGTATTTTTAATGTGAAATTTCTCTTTGTGTTTTCCCAGACAGAATTTCCTGCTTATATGTAGAGGAGGGATAGTAATACAAAGAAGTATTTAAAAACACTTAAACTTTGACAGATACCCACTTGATTAGTCCAACTCAGACTGCTAATGACTCATATTAGCTTCAAAAGAACGTGGAAATATTTTAATTCAAAACGTGGACTGTGGATTTTGCTCACCATCACTTACATTAGAAGCTCATTAGGGAGGGATCTCCTCAGGGTCAGTATGAACAGGAAGAATTATTGCAGTAAGCACAACATGTTTCAGTGTTCATACAGGCACCAGGCTATTGCTTTGAGATAGACATAAATATATGTGAACCTATCCTTCACTGTGATGGTCCATTAAGAGATTTTATATTTTCTGCATTCCCTATAAAATAGTGGTTTTCATCCAGGCATACATCACATTACTATGACAAAAAAAAACCTCCTCACAGTATCCTGTCAGGAAAGAGATTTTAGAGGGCTGTTACCAAAAGACAAAATTCAGCAGTCTATATCGACATAAAGAAGGGTAGCAATGTAGGCTACTATGATGCTGTTATATGAGTTGACACTGACAAAATGTTCAGGTATACATTCAAAGGTTTGGTTTTTAAAAGAGCTGAAATCTATGAAGATCAGACAGGACTGACAACCTCTCCTGCTTCAGCGAAGAGAGACAGACTCGATATCGCAATCAGCCTCGATAACAAGCTTTCTAATCTCACATATTCATCTCACTATGCACGTCACTGGGTGAGATAAAAGATGTAGAGAAAAGCTCCAATTATCATGGATGACTTTGTATTCACCTTTGGCTCTTAACTTTCCATCACAAGCTCTGAGTGTGTTATGGGCCAAGTTTGACATAGGATGAAGGTATATAGCCCTCTTCTCCACTGGCTCTAAGTACTCTCATCCATCCATCTCCTTTATCCTCCTCCATTATACTCAACAGCTCTCCCTCCGTAATGGAAATGGTGCCCTCACTGTTGCCTGCACACAAACACACACAAGTAAGACTTAAAAGGCTTAAATGACATCTATTTATGAACAAGTAGAGTGTAAATATGACAATGTACCTTCAAAGGTGTACAGAGCCACGCAGTGGCCAACAGGGCTTTCTATGTCGTCAAACTCGTCTTCAAATTCTGTGTAGATGTTGTGAGACTGGTCAGCTGCTACAACACTGAAAATAAACAAATCAAGACATGTAATTTCATCAGTGTTTTCTGCTACACCTGTTCACATTTTTAAAAATAGTTGGGCATTTTGGGAAATACATGTATTTGCTTTCTTCCCGAGAGTTAGATGAGATACCACTCTCATATCTGTAGAAGTAAGTTAAACATCCAGCAGTCGGTTGCCCAGTTGGATATCTTAGCATAAGGACTTGAAACAGGGGGAAACAGCTAGCTAGTAAAAACAACAAGATGTTATATGGGGAATTTGGTGTCAGATAATTTCTGTCGCAGTGACTTCCTGGAGTTTCCCCTGGCTGCATGGCACCCCATGCTTCCAGTGGGAGGCCTGGATCATGTGACTGACAAAGACAGCCAAAGATGTCAGTAGAATACTTTTCGGTAGCCTTGCTAGTTTATCTATTTGCATTGTTAATAGAAGAATAAGAGACAGAATAACACGACTGTGCTTAAAAGTTTTTGTAAAACAAAGAAATTAGTGAGAATGCTTTAAATATTGTGAATCAACCTGCTGCATTTCTTTACTCTTTCACCTCTGGTTTCGACAAATTGTGATTCAAGTAAATCCAAATTGCATTACTGAACAAAAATGAGATTGGTATTAATTTCCTTATTTAACTTGCTGCAAGAAAGCCATAAGGGTATTTCCTGAAAAGTCAAACTGCTCCTTTAAACATAGGTCTTACCTATGTCGAGTATTATTGTTGATGGTGTTGGACGATTCCTCTCCCCCCACTGCTTCTGACAGCCACGTCTATAATGAACCAGCAATAGATGTTAATGTTGCATAAAAGCACATATAATGTAATCTGATAATGCACACAACGTAAGCATGCATTGTGTGTGTATGTGTGACAACCTCATATTTGGTCAGCTCCCCCCTTAGGCGGCCTATGTTGTGAGCAGTTTCTGTGATCTGAGGCTCCAGACTGGAGGGGTCTCCCATCTGTGGATTCTTCTCATACACACCCTTCATCTTCTCCAGTGCGTCACTGAGGTCAGAAAGGTGAAGGAAAGCGTTATTGTTTTGGAAATGTGAGCACTCATTAAGGATGTTTTTCTCCTGTGCAGCACTGCTGATAAGGACAGGAGAAGTTTGTACAAATTGGGAGACTTGCTGAAGAGACATTAATGAGGTTGGGCACTGATGGTGGGTGGAAAAAGTCTGGCTTAAACTTACAACAACAAAGATATAGGTTTAAGATCAGGGCTCTGTGTGTGAACCAGTCAAGTTCTTCCGCAACAAACTGGGAACATTTTTTTACAAGGGGTTTTGTCATATTGATCAAGGATATTACAATAAAGCTACGAAACAAATGTGTTATTTAAAGCATTGAAATCCACATTTCTCAGCTTCTTCATATAAGCCATGGAGTCCTATATTAACACTTTTCTGCAAAAGTTGCAATTGTTCTCATTAATTCACGAGAGACGTTTGTGTCTATGGTTTAATCTGGGCTCTACTCACTGGTTTGAAGTGGACGGGGCTCAATTGGAAAAAGGTGATGTCCTGTAATTCTGTACACCAATCAGAGTTGTTTGCTTATGTTGCCAGACTGCAATCAAGTCAAATTTGATACCCCATCCACACAGTTATACTGAAGAAGATTAGCTCAGTAGAAAACTGTTAGATCCAAAACTTTAGGTCATTTAGTCATGGATATTCAGCGTTATAGAGAAACACTTTTAAGAGGCTTTTAAGATCTTCTACTCTGAACTAATTAGGTGTCCACCAAAAAAAATTAAATTAGGGCACCACCACATACGGTCCAACCTATGCTGTCCCAAACAGATGCTCACAGTGAATACCATGAGTTCAAACTAATACTCAGTAGATTAATTATAAATTACAAAGGCCTTGGGGATGCCTGTGATTCTGTTGGTGATATTGTCACCTTTGGTCCTGTGCCTTTTGCAGCTCCTTGGTGATGTCATCAATCTTCGCATGCAGCCTCTTCTTCCTCTGCTCCGGAGGAAGATGAGAGAAATCTTCTGCTGCGGGCAGCTATACACGTACACGCGCGCACACACACACACACACACACACACAGTAATTGTCCTAAACGTCATGTATACAGACTCTTATTACTGCTCACCACCAGATGTCACTCCTCCCTATCTCTAACTCTCATTCCCACTGCTAATAAGACATCTACACACAGACTGACAGGTTAATGCTGCATGTTAGTCTAAGAAACCTAACAATACAGAGCAATACAGATCATTATTTTGTGTGAAGCAAACAAACCCTGGTTAGAGAGGAGAGAGAGGGTGAGGAGCATGGCTGTTCAGAACCCATAACACCCTGTGAGAATACCACTGAATTTCAGCTGCGCAGTGTTTTGGACTGGTGTGTACCGTATAAACAACTCACGACAGAAACAAACAAGTATAACTCTCTCGCCACACCAACATACACTTAGGTAAGTGCAACAATTAAATTAAATGCATAAAAAATTATTAAAATCTTAAATTGTTACTAAAGGAAAATGATAGTAAATGCAAATGAGATTTAAGATTTTTTTTAAAGAAGTGATTTAAATTTTCTAACATTTTGGGAGAAAGCTCTTAAGTTGAGGAGTGACAATAGCAAAAGCACTATAAACAGTAGTTTCTCCATCCCTGACCTTTAATCTGCTTCCGGACTAGTTGAAGCTGAGCTCATGCAGACTGACTGAGGCCGGTGTGATGTGATAAAAGATGGATAATTTTCTCAAAATCTTGAGTTCAAAGAAAGGGCCTAATTTTTTGTCTCTACAGACACATATTTAGATAACAATATGCAACTAGAGATCTTAGACTATATCCACTGAATAACTACTTCTCTCCCCATGAAGACTGAAAAGTGTTCACAGTGTTCTTGTGTGGATTATCCAAAGTAGCAGCGATACTTTTTCTGAAAGGAAATGTTGTGTTGAATGTTTTTAAATGAAAATTTTCACTTACATTCTTCTCCATTGTAATTGGGAGGAAAGAATAATTTCAGTGAGCGATATCTAAAAACCAAAACAATTTGCTTAGTTATGAGATAGGAGTCCGTGGTACAAACATACTGTCCTTTTAGCGACTGAAAACCCAAACCGAGTTTGTCCCCCTTATGTATTAATATCTTTCTGGAAAGGTATTACCCAGTGAAACCCATACAGTCATTTAACATAACTTACTGTTGCTCTGACAGTACTTCCAGAATCCCCTTAAGACTTTTTTAACAATCTTGGTGAAAAATTATCTGTGAAAAATTATCTGTTATACTATGTTTTAATATCTCTATCCAAAACGTAATATTTTCACACACAATAACGTGTTAATGTTTTGCTTGTGTGTTTTACAAAAAGAGATGTCAGTTCTGTATACCTGGATTATTCTTTCATCCAGAGTCTTTGAGGATTCTGGACATTTCAGAAGGGCGGTAAGTTTTGTTGAACAATCTTCCGAGATGGCTGGAAAAATTTATTTGGAAAATTGGATGCTTAAAGCTGTTATTTACATGTAATGGTAATACAAGCACCAACTGGGGCTGGACGGAGCTAACTAACTTGCTAACTAACAGTATACACTAGTTAACAGCCTCTAGTACTTTCTAAAAGACACAACGATGAATTTCAGCATTCCACTTTCTGGTATGACCCAGACTTTGTACCTTTTAACCCACAGGAGCGAGTGCAGCACCAGAATTATGCTATTTCAGCACCTGTTCAGTCCACCCTATATATATTCCTTAATAAGTGTCACTGTGTGTTTTTCAGCATGCAATATCTAAACAGAGAGAATAGGTGTACAACAAACACACTGAATGGGAAACACACTTTTACAATAATAGGCATAGTGACAGTTTTTACAAAAGAACAGGGGGTATAAAGTAGCAATATTCAGATATAACAGCAGGAGTAATAGCATCAATGGGACAAATACATGAGAGAGGAGATGTTTACAACATATGACATGGGGATTGGACCTGAGCAGATGTCGTCACTCACCCAGTGCTGTTTGTGTAATATCTTTAAGGTGGAAATCCTGGGTTTGACAGAGCGTTTGAACTCTCTCAGGCAGAGAGAGAGGGGGGAGTGCTCCAGCTTAGAGAGGGGGAGGAAGAGGGGGTGGCTGCCCGGTAGGAAAGGCGACGGGGGAGAAAAAGACGGAAGGGTAAACTGAAGGGGGGGGGGATACAAGGTGGAGGAACAGGGAGCAGAGGAAGAGGAGCACAGGAGGGAGATTACACTGGTAGAAGAGAAGAAGAGTCAAACAGATGCGGATATTTTTGTAATAAAGTGGACAAAGAGTTAAAAGGAGAGCACGTGGTGTTTTCAGGGCAAGTCTGTGCAGCAGACCGGAATTAGTACTGGCCCCTGAGGGCAACAGGGTGGTGGGGTAAGACATGAGTGGAATGTGTGCTGAGTTTTGAGTGTGTGTGTTTGTTTCAAAGCATTGTTATAAGACCTTGTGAGTGTAATTTGCACTTCTTCAGTGGTCAACAGGAGCAAGATAAGGACAGGGCTGGGTTCTTCTCTTTGTATGGATTAAGATTAAGATTAAAGTCTTTACAGCTGTCTTAAAATGTATCTGCAACGAGCCCTCAAACCTGCGAAAGGTTTACAGGTTTATCCACAGTTAGCTGTAACGTGACACCTTTTCTTAGAAGTGTACAGAGAAACTTTGATGTAATTAGTATTTGAAATGAAAACATATCGGTTATTTACAGGACAAGTCTGGTGATATTTATTTTTCTTTTGTCAACAAATCCCATGAAATGGACCAAAACCAACAATGAACTGACCCTATAACCTCTGTGTCATAGACATCCGTTGTTGTCCAAAAAAACCCACATCAGTGAGACGTGACGTGTTATTCATGCGATGAACATTGGCAATGTCGCTTATTTTTAATGAATACACTTGGACTGGTGCCATAAAAAGTGTCATCAAATGTGTATTAATCCATGGCTGAAAATAGTTCCCCACAGAGACACTATTTACTCACGTTCGAGTAACATTTACTAAAAACTTAAGTGCCCAGGTGTCTTTGAAAATTAACCTTTATTTTATATTTGTGACCCGTTTTCAAAGATTAACTTCACTCTAAAGATAAACTTGTGTCATTATCAATATTTAATTTAAACACCTACAGTAAGAGTTATCTTCACCTATACATGATATACTATACAGCAAAATAACATTTAAAAAAGAACCAATCCACATTTGTTTCTTTAGATTTACTAAACTAAAACCTGTGTTATCAGAAAGCAAAGCCATAACGCTGTATTGGTGGTGGTGGCACATCCCAATATTAACAATATCAGGAAAAAAAACACCTGCACATTGAATAAATGCTCCTGAAAATTATTTATTTAGTTATTGAGTACAACTACGTTGTTTCGACGTTACTGCTTCATCAGGTCAAGGACAGGCTAATGCTCTTAATGTGACCAAGAAGGTCTGTATGTAGACTTCACTTGATTTAACACGTTGCAGGCCCTGTCATCAGTTACTTCAACATGTACGCATCAACGCTAAACTCAGTTATATATCAAGGATTCTATGCTAGGATGCTATGTACAACTAATGAGGGCGTAATGTTGAACGTTGCTGTTCTATATAAAATTTTATATGGAGTTTAATATAAAATAAATCTTTTGGGAGCATCTATTAAAGGTGCTTTAAACACTAAAATGTATCAAATGCATTAGCAACATGAAATCAATTGGAGTAAGTTAATTAATTATTTGTAAATTATATAAATCAAATTTATTTCTAAACTCTTTAGAGTGAATTCACTTCACATTATGAGACGTCTGTGAAGGTTCTCAGTCATCCAGGTCATAGTTATCCAAGCAAGGTTACATTCAAGGGCAACTGGACTTGGTTGAGGATACTAGAAGGTGTTATGTCCCTCATCCAAGAGTCGTTAGCCAAGATGATCGATACTGCTGGTTTGTTAGTATAACAGCTAGGGGCACTAACGAATCAGCAGTATCGTTCATCTTGGCTAACGACACTACAGAGGATTCTTCTATATCTTCAATGAAGTCCAGTTGCCTTATATTTTAACCTTCCTTGGACACTAAGAGATGTTTTTGCAGGGTTTCATTTCATCACTGTTAATTAATGTACTAATTAACATAATTATGTTTAAACTGTGAAGCACTCAGTTTTGTGGGTGATCCTTATTGTTTCCAGTGTCTAATCATGTCGCCTTTATTTCAAAATAAGACCACACGTGTTTCGAGAAAGACTAACAACTCAACCTTGTAAATAAAGATAGCCTATATGAATGAGAAATGACAAGATAATTTTAGCCTGATAGAATAGGAAAGATGGGAAATTCAGTTAGTCAAATGCAGAAGCAGGCGAGGAAGAGAGGGGAGAGGCAGTAAATGTCTCCTCCTTGAGATGCTGCAGTTTTTATACAAACTGAAAGACAAGCAAATCTAATGTGAACACTGCATATTCACCTTCTGCTGTTTTTTGCTGAAAGGCCAGAGTTTAGCGCGCACTTTAGGTGGGTGAAGGCTGGAGTCAGAGGTTGCCGGTTTGATTCCTTGGCTGTAGTCTTCAAACTCTGCATCTCCAGGTCGCTCAAAACCAGACTTGTGCTGCTCTATGAACAGCATCGAATCCTGCAGGGAGATAAACAGACAAACAGTATATTTTAAACTTCACAGAAAATTTACCTCATTTACATACATGAAATAGCAACAACAACAACCCCTGTGTTAAAAATTAAACACTAGATGGTGATACAGGAGTGGATTTTTATTCATGTCCCATCCCACTCCCACAAAAATATTCCTGTTTCATCCCAATCCCGGAAGAATTCCTCTTGTCAATCCTGTTTATAATTTTAAAAAAATAATCTGAAAATGTGATGTTTTCACATTAGAACTATATATCCAAAAAACGGACCTATGATTCCTGTCCCGTCCCAGTCCCATGATGAATAGTGAAATTGTCTCATCTCGCGGGAATTATACAGGAATCCCTTGACACACAGGATTCCTGAAAAAATGTCAGCCTCTAATCAACACCCACTCTCAACTCTCCGACACAGTGTCAACAATAGGTTTTGACAAAAGTAGTTTTTATTATAGGATGGGTTGTATTAGATTGCTTAAGTAAACCTAGTAAACCTGTGGACATAGAAATAATGACACTGAAGTAATCTGTACTGTAGGCTTTTCAAATTTCGAAAAATGTCAGGTAAACAGCATAATTAAAGGAATACTTTAATACGCAATTTGCTTTCTTGTTGAGAGTCAGATGAGAAGATTGATACCACTCTACTGTGTGTGAGGTTTAATGAAGCTACAGCCAGATGATTAGCTTAGCTTAGCATAAAGACCACAAGCTGAAGGTAACAGCTAATCTGGGGTTGTGGTTCACAATGGCTTCAATAACATTAAATAAAACCTTTCATACCAAGCTCCTCCTGATGGGATGTGATATTTTTGGTTGGTCAATAATTCAGTCACTCAAACAAGGAACTTTCTCATTGGTGTGAAGTTGAGACATGGTCATGTTGCTAAGCAGAACACATGTCTACTGAAACATGACCCTACTTTCAGACAACATGGACAACTTCCAGTATCAATGCTCTCATCCTCTTTCGCATGTTCAGTGACCTTTATCTTTTCAAAGTTCCTGTGCTTGACTGTCCTTACTTTCTGACCATTAGCATTTTCTTGGGATTAAACCCACATGCAAGTAAAATGTTTGCTTTGATTAAAATTAACACATCTTGGTTATGCATTGATTATTACAAATCATATTATATGCTTTGATTATTGTTTGGTTTATAAAATGTCAGAAAATGGTGAAAATTGTCAACCCTGCCGCTGTCTGAAACCTTGCTGCACCTAAAGTAGTGTTATTATAGTAAGGATGGGCTGTGAGCAAGGCAAATGTCCTGAAAGATACATGCACAGGCTTTCTTTAATGTTCTTTGATTTTTTATGAACATAATAATAATAATAATAATAATAATAATGTGTTCTCTCTGTTATTATATGAACATAAGAAATACAAAAATAAAATTAATATAATTATACTACTTCTATATAAGGCTACAATTCTGTAAAAAACACAACGACATTTCTCTTTGACCTTTCACCAAATTAATTTGTCAATATTTTAGTTCACTATTGCCATGGCACCTGCTTACTAATGTCTTTCTCTACCACTGGCACAAACTGAACCAACTTGGAGAAATCACACTTTAAAATCCAAAACCCCACAAATTACACAAACATATTTAAATTTCCTTGAACCTTAACCCTTTCACCAAACCAGTTGCTTAGGTTTAACTTGGCATGGCATCTGCTTCCTAATGTCATCTACTATCACTGCCACAAATTTGGTAACATTTTACTGAGTATCATTTCTCTGAATTTTGACCTTTCACTAAACAAGTTCCCTAATAGGTTAGTTCACTGTTGTCATGGCATATGCTTCCTAATGTATTCCTCTCTCACTGGCACGCACTCTACTTAAAACATCAGCAGGACCAGCATCCCCCCAACTTTCCCAACAATAAGATCAGAAGTATCTTAGATACGATACTGGACAGACAGATAGAAAGACAGGCACAGCCAATACATCTCATTTACCTGTTTCTCATTGATTTTCATCCCTGCTGCAGAGATTCCCTCTAGACACTTTGAGATGATGGGCAGCACATTCTTCTCGATGTCAGAAAACTGGCAGTATCCCTCCGCCAGCCGTTGAATCCTCCGCTCATCCATGTCCTGCATTTTCTGTTTGGTACACAAACATACAACTGCCTCATTAAATTTCATATTATATTCACATGGTCTGTGTTTATACTTTGTTCATGCAAATACATACGGAAACACTGGAGAAGGATTACATTTTGAAAGACAATAAAAGGGTGTGTATGGTTTGCATTATGTCACTTGAGCAGGTTTGTGAACTCTGCCCAGTAGTACTGCATTCTATATGTGTGCCTTCATCTCACATTGAAGATCTTTGGTATCTCTGAGTAGTAGAAGAACTTTTGCTCTTTGTTGTATTTCTGGAGCTGTGCTGCATAGTCGTTCCTGCACTCCTCTGCTGTGTGTGTGCGGGCTTGGGCATGCAGCTTGGCCTTCAGAGCGAATGATAGGAGGAATGACAGAAGGGAGAGGGAGGGGAAGACAACAGGAGGCAGGAAGAATGAGAAATTAAGAGATGCAAAACAAAATGCAAAGTGGGAGAAATGCAGGACCAGATGCAGTGAGGGATGGGAGACACAAGGAGGTGAAAGCCGCCATGGAGGAAGACAAACAAGGACAGATCAATTATTGTTTTTACTGAAAATATCTTAAAAACCAAAAGGTGAAAAAAAATCTGTGCTCAGCTGTTGATGCCAACGTGTGTGTTTTTACTTTTTCAGCATCGAGTCTAGTGGCATTATTGTCGTTCTCGATTTTCTCAGCTTGTTGTGTGGCTTTATCCGCCTCCGCCCACTCCTTGGCAAATCGCTTCTTAGTCTGCAGGGTATGTACACACAGTCAGATCTACACTTTAATACACTTAATTGAATAGAGCTTTAATAGTATTAACGATGCAAAAGTTGAGGAATTCAGTCCCACTGGCAGTAATAACACTGCAAGGGGACTGTCCATCATAAAACGCACATTATGTTACTGTATGTTAAAGGCTCAATTAGGACAAATTCCAATCAGTAGATATATTTACTCACTTACATCTGGTGGTATCTAGTAATGCGAATAGATTTTGTTTTATAAGCATTAAAACATTACCATACCATTATAGAAGTCATAAACTTATTAAACCCTTTACAAAGGATTTATAAGTTGCACTTTATTACTGGCTAATACATTATTTACTAAAGATTTTTAGATCATTCTTTCATTTTATATATTAAGCCATTAACACTTTTTGGGCTGCCAGGTGGTGAAAAATCTCTCTGACTGGTGTTTTTCCTCCTCAAACAGGTTATTTTATCTCTTTTGGGTCAACCACTTCACTGGGCTGTTTGATTGGAAAGGTTCTGAAAAGTATCTGGACCAAAAGCCATTTGGTAACAACTTATTCTGACTTGGATTGTTGTAAAACCCTTTGTTGTTAACTTAGTATGATTTATAATTACAGATGACTTAATATTGCTGTTCGCTTAATAGAAAGTTAAGGTCATCAGCATTTGTAGCAGCACACTCTGTGGCTTATTAGACAGTTTGTACACTTTATTATTGACTTTATTAATGACAATTAATGACTCACAGGCCAGATAGATTTTTCACAACCTGGCAACCCAAAGGGTGTTATACATTTAACTTATAAACATTTAAGAAAGGATGTCCTATTAGAAAGCGGTACCAAAATTACATTTTAAATATTCAGCAGCAACGTGTGTAACACACGTTGTAACACACGTTACCAATGTCCCTGCATTACTGTGGATAATCTACAGAACTCACAGTTTTCACTAGAGCTACTTTCCACTAAAGAAATAAAGAAAAGATGCCGCCGTTCTATTTTTAGTAGAACAGTAGTTTTTTTTCAGTACCACAAACAAAATTCCATTCACCTCTTTGGAATGGAGGAGGAACACTTTATTTTACAGATCTACAAATTTCTATAATTTTCTGAAAGTTTCTTGGAAAGAAACATATAAATTAGTACAAACTATGGGTAAAAATAGAAATTATTAAATTCTCACACTCCAATATATAAAGTATTTAATTCTCACACTCCAACTAACTAATTAAACTGTTAAACTAGTTTAATTTAAGAATCTTGTGGTCTGTGTAGGTCCGCTGAAAATGTAAACATACAATTCAACCTATATGAAGAATAAAGTTGACGGACCTGTAAAATGAAGCTTTACCACAAAAATATCTCAATGACAAGATACCACAAAAGGCAAGTGAGATTTTTTTGGGTAATTTTAGGCAAACAAACAATCCTGTGATCCAACAACAATATGTGACTCACACTTTCTAGTTGTTTAAAGGTGGTCTCTAAATTCTGCTGGGCTTTCTTGACATCAGAAAGGTGCTGGGGAAGAAAGAGGTTTAATATGATGACACAGCGTACATCAATCTAATCTGCCAACTGCCAAACTTCCCTGTTCCTTCCTTCTTCCCTTCAATCCCTCCCTTCCTCTCTCCCTCCCTCATGTGCTCTTCCTCTCTCTCTCTCACTGTTTTGCGTTCCTGTTTGAGATCCTGAAGATACTTGGTGAGTTCAACACAGATGCCGGTCATCATGTTTTCAGCGATGAGCTCCCGTTGGCCGGCGTAATCATTCAGCTCATTCAGAATCTCCTGAAAGGATGCGTGATTGCTGAATCTGCAGCAAGGAGTAGAGACAATTTGGAAAATTATCACAGCTGGAGAGACCAACATTTAACTGACTGTTCGCTAAACCCATCCCAATGAACAGAAATTGTCTAATCTTAGCAAATGTAACACAACAAACATTAGCATGTCCAGCTATCTAGCTTAACTAACTAACTAAATAAGTAAACATTATTTTCAAGTTAATTACATTAATTAGTGAGACTTCTTTAGAAAAATGCTTTTTCAGGACTGGGACATCCACTCTGTGGGAGCCATCAGAGTTTTGAGGAACTCTGTCCTGCCCTCTTTTTGGTTTGGGAAAGTTTAAACCCCAGAAGCTCTAGCCAAACTTGCGTAAGATAGCATTACATTTTCCAAATTTATCGGCTATTCTTCCTACTCTTTGGAAATAAGAGTACTACATTTTACTTACAATACTGTACTATAATAATAGAACTAGCTAGCTCTACACTGCAATACACAAATAATGCAGCTCCTTTATTTCCATGATATCTCTATAGATCATCAGACCTGACATGTAGCTTTAGCCTCAGTCTTTTAGTACTACATCATTTAGCCACTGTGCATATTTAAGACCCTTTTACTCGATTCCTATTTTAACACGTTAGTGTGAAACATTGAAAAGTCAACTGGAGTTGCCGTGCAAGAATGGAAAGCTAAAACAGGCACTATCTTTAAAAGGGGAGTTTAGTGAACAGTCACTTGTAATTCATGCAAAATAAAAGAGGAGAGGGAAACATAATGGAAATAGAAATTTTTCATTCTCTCACTTGCAGTCTGGCTCATCCTTGCTTCCTCGTTTGGCATATCTCCTTGTTAGATTCCTGTTAAGACAGCGTAAAAGAAGCACTGTGACTCTCTATTACACACACAAACATAAAGACACAAATAAATTTAAGATCCTAATTAATGTAAACATAACTAAACATTCAGAAACAAGCTCACAAAAACCAAAGGCACACCTGAGTTGCTTGGCGTAGCTCTGTTCTATCTCTGTCCGTTCCTTTACAAACTTTATGTAACGCTCCACCAGGTCGAGGCCTGCCAACGTGTGCTTGTCGATGTGATCATACTGGTCCTAAGAGAGGAACAGCACAGAAGTATCCATTTCCATACATGTATATGCACACAAACACTTTAGACTTTTTTTTCTCTTTCAATCAAGTCGTTGTTTTGTCTCAAGAATGATAACAAAGAGCTTGTATCCTGTTGTTGATTAATTTTCTTAGCTCAACTAAGTGCTTCAGCTCTAATACATCAGACCAGCTTCCGGGCAAAAGAATCGTGCTTTGACATAACAACTTAAACATTTTTATTATTTAAGGCATATAAGAATAAGAAACATCTGGCCACTGTGTTGGGTCATGTTCCACTTGGATCAAGCGGGAAGCTTCCCGTCTGAGATGTGAATCCAATGCGGAAGTCCCTTAAACCTGCATTCTATTGAACGACCACCAAAGTAAACACTTTCATAATGAGTTTATGGTCTCAATCGCTAGTTTCATGTCTTCTTCAATACAACATGTTCATTTAATAAATTATGGTCCCATTTAGAGGAAAATAGACCATAAAGCAGAGTATGCGTCAGCGCAGGATTATCTATGATTGACAAGTCATTACCATGGTTATCTGTCAATCAGGCAGATATAGATATAGATAGAGTGGCTCGTACCCAAGGCACTGTGTAAATTTAACCAGCGCAAGCCTGTTAAAATGACAGTTAAAGTGAATTACAGATGCACCTAGCAAGCTAACCAGCTCCGCACATGGCCGTTAGCTCCACCGTCTCGTCCAAATATGGTCATGTCCGGTGCCGCTGGTTGCAAAAACTTAACATGGCGGTGCTCTATCAGCCAAACTCAAGGTTCGGTTAACACAAAATGAATTCATACACACTTGTAAATAAAACAATTTTTTATGCAAACACATCAAATTGCATTGACATCAATTGGATCTTCTATTCGGTCCCCCAAAAAGGGGTGAGGTCTGGGGTTTTACAAGGTACCCACATATACCTGTCTGATGTATTGTTTTGCTTTGCTTTCATTTGCATTAGGCCATGGATTTGGAAAATGGCAACAGGATGAAAAACCTTTACACACGCACACTTAAGACACACCTACAGTCTCACACATACACGAAGTGCAAAGATAGGTTAAAGAATAAAAGAAAACTCTCCTGTCAACATTCCTCTCTCTCTCTTTACACACACATCCATGCATTCAAAACACAATCTCTCTCTCTCTCTCTCACACACACACACACAAACCTGCTGGGCAGGTAATATTTGTCCTCTCTGTCTCCACTGGCTTATATCTACACAGTGTCATAACATATAGTAAAGGGCTCACTGAATATGAATGTGACCACAAAACTGAATGGTGTGCTTACATGAGGAGTCTGGACACACGAAGCAACAGGGTGGTTCTGTTGTTGTGAAATACAAAGAAAGACTCCACCTTTTGGTTGCTGGCGTGTGTGTGCGCGTGTGTGCGTAGAGGCTGCAAGGTCTTTTGGAACCAGAGACATAGATATTAGGTCCTCAGAGGGGGGGGGGGGGAGCTAAATGGAGCTCGTACAGTAACACAGATAGCAATGTCCTGGAAACGAGAAGGCTGGGAGGAGGCAGGAACAGGATGAGAATACACAGGACAATGGAGTGAAATAGAAGAAACAGAAAAACCTGCACCAGGAAGGAGAGTGATCGAGGCAATCAGATGTATGAGATACAAATTGTGATTAAGAAAGAGCATGTGAAGAATCTATGAAATATATTCCTCCATGCATTTGCCACTGCTGCGCCATTAATTAACTTAGTATATCATGTTTGTGTGAGACGAATGAATACTGATAGTGAGTGAGACAGGCTTCAGGAATGAGATAATCATTAGCTCAGTATGAACCTCCGCCCTGTGACTGATGGTCCCAGGGGCCTCTCCAAACCCTGAAACCAGTTGGACCAGTCCCACCCCTCACAGTGACGACACACAGCAGCAGCGTTTCCTGATCCAGGTAGATCTGAGGTCAGACTCAGTCATAATGAAAGCTACAAAACAAAAGGATTTAGTTGCACCAGCCATCCGTAAATCCATCACTAAGTTTGTGTAAAGTGCTTAGTAACTACTAGAATGTTTCAATCTGCACCATTAAAACTCGAAATGTCCAAGCTAGAGAGACTACCTAAAGCTAACCTATTAACACATTCAACAAATTTTGTATCAAAGACACCAAACATTTCAGGAATACCATCGTGGAAATGGGTCTCAACTGATGTGCAGCCATGAAAACCATAAAGTCTTGTAGTTTAATCTTGTACTCAGTGTAAATATCATATAGCTTCAATGAAGAGAAGTTGGAAAAGGCTGATATAGCACACAGTAAGACAGAGTGGAATGAGAGGATTTTTTCTAACCTTAAAGCTACAAAAGGGGAAATGGCATATGTGGTTAAATGAGAGCAAGTTTCACTTTTCTTTTCACTTGTGTACATGACATTGCAGGTGATAGCTGATATCTCTAAAAATGTAAAATTTGAGGATAACACCTTACAATACAGTACACAAAAGTAGTTACAAAAGAACGAGATCAGCAATGACCTGATAATGAATTAATTGTTGATAAGTAGCACCTGAATATCTCAGAATTAAGTACTGTATAGAAAAGAATGGAGAGTTCCTGCAGAAATTACTGAGATACTATATCAATGAATCAGTGCATAATGATAATGATTCATAAATATCTGTGAATCAACGTGCTGACCATTTGCTTCATGAGTAGTTCCGGATTAACTCTGAATCAGCCAGCTCATACCACTTTACTTGCATTGAGCTACAGTATGATTGTTGTTTTGCATCTCTCATTATTGCTGCTGTGTTTCATCACTGTGAGGGGTGGGACTAGTCCAACTGGTTACAGGGTTTGGAGAGGCCCCTGGGACTGCTAGTCCCAGGGCGGAGGTTCATAAATATATGTAATTCGACATACTGACCACTCTCTTCATGCGTAGTTCCTGATTAACTCTGAATCAGCCAGCTCATACCACTTTACTTGCATCGATCTACTGCCCCCCGCCCCTCTCTCACTCAACCTAACTGGTGGGAATTGCTGGGTCTGTGTAAATACAATTACAAAGAGTATGGTCCTGCTCTATATGAAAAGTGGAATGGGATAGCTTGTTATGAATTGAATACAACTGAATTGATTTGGGGGGGCAGAGAAAGTTAAGTAGCGGTCAGTGTGTCAATGCTTTTTAGTAATTGAATTAATCAAATTAATCGATGAAACGTTTCAACCCTACTGATTAAGTAATAAGCAATTGAGACGTTACTAGTTTTGTGGCACTCAGTGGCTGATTATGAGGTAATCAGAAACTGAGGAGAGTGGTCAGTATGCCGATTTACAGATATTTATGAACTAATCATTATGTAATGATTAATTAATATAGGATCTCTTATTCTGTTCTTTAGTAACTCACCTATTAAGTTCTTGAAACTGAGATACTCAGGAACTACTTACTAAGAATTAGTTAATTATCATGTCGCTGATTCGTTCCTCACTCAATCGTTAATCCAATTTTTTGCACTGTATTGTAGAATGGTACCAATTTGAGTTCTCCTCGTGAGCATCTATTGAGGAGAGAGACCCTGTTTTGGATGGTCGGATCCCAAAGGGTCAGGTTGGTGTAACTAACAATTATTCTCGAGCAGTTTATTTTTTTTCATAAATTGAACAATCGTTCGGTCTATAAAATGTCAGGAAATTGTTAAAAATACCAACTACAATTTCCAAAAGCCAGAGGTAAAGTCTTCAAATTGCTTGTGTTGTCTAAAAAGCGGTCCTAAACCAAAAGATATTTAGTTTATTATTAGTTAGGACAAAGAAAAGCAGCACATTTGAGCTGGGGCTAGGTAATATTTGACAGTTATGCTTAAAAACTATATGACTTACCGCTCAATTCATTATCAAAACAGTTGCTCATATGAATGAAACAATAAAATGATGATCATTTATCAAACAAAAATGCCCAATAACACTGGTTCCCGTTTCTCTACTTGCAGTATTTGCTCGTTTTTTTGTCCATTGTGATAATAAACTATTCAGGTTTTGGACTATTGGTCAGACAAAACAAGAAATATTAAGACATCACCTTGGGCTTGTGTGATGGGCCTTTCTTCTCTGTCTGGCATTTTTATAGACCAAACAATTAGTCAATAAATCGAGAAAATAATCAGGAGATTAATTGATAATGAAAATAATGAGTAGTTACAGCACTAGTTGCTGATTTATTTTCTGACTAATCGTTTTATCAACCAATAATTTCAGCTCTAGCTATAATATGTGCTGGTTTTCTCACAATAAAGTCTGATTACACTACTGTTGCCCGATCCCATCAAACACGACACAATCAGATGCAGCTGAATCACTTTTTAACTTCAACTATTCATAAACAAAGCATTTAACATAGCAGCCTCACCCAGTCAGTGTTTAACTGAGGAATAATCTCAGATGCACGTACTTAGGCTCTGACCTCAATCACAGCAGGATTTGGGAAAATTTGTTGTCTTTGCTCTTCATCACCAGCCAATAAACCAACAAGCATAAACAAGTCTAATCTATTTTGTTTGCGCTAAAATAGACTGTACATAGCATTAGTGCATCAGTGTAGAGCTAAAATAATTAGTCCATTAGTGATTAGCCTGTCAGAAAATTAATCAGGAACTATTTTAACAAATAATCATCTATCAAGCAAAAACGCCAAACATTTTCCTGTTTCAGCATCTCAAATGTGAGGAATCCCCGCTTTTCTGTGGTCATATCAGGTCGTAAACAGGATGTCTTTCAGTTTTGGACTGCTGGTCAGACAAAAACAAGGAAATTGAAGACATAATTGTGTCTAATTCTGTAATTTCCCCCACATTTTATAGACCAAAAACTTGATTGATTTATCCAGAAACTATTTAAAATGAAAATCTTTACTCGCAACCCTGGATCAGTGGCCACTGTGTGTGTGTGTGTGTGTGTGTGTGTGTGTGTGTGTGATGAAGGTTGTCTGACCTGATGACTGTCAGTGTGATTCACAGCTGAGAGAGACACTGACCAGATGCAGTGACAAGTCACACAAATGAGCCTTCAACAGAGGACAACCTGTCAGAACCCTCAACACTTCCAGAGAAATGTTTTCACAAAGCAAAGCTCCGGTTCAAGCATGCATTAAGGTGGAGTGAGACAGAAAAGGGTAGCAGAGTACACCTTCAGCCTACATAGATAAGGTGGCCAGAAAGAGTAATAAACCTCTCTTCTTTTCCCTCTGCTTAAGATAAGGAATGCAGCAGGAGTTGCGAAATCCTCTGGTTGCAGGCTTTACATAAAGACTCCTGCTGTTGTCTCAGGATTACTTAACCCTGGCCCTACCGTGGTAAAACAAGAGTAGCGTGTACATATCGTCGAAAATAATAGTAAGACAGCACACTCTTAAGGGATGTTGAAGGGGCTTTTTTTGTAACGACTTCTCCCAGAGGGTTAAGCTTCTGTGTCAGCTGTCAAACTTACCCAAAGATGTGTTCCCCAATCCATTTCTGCAAAAGTTCAGACCGTCCCTGTTGTTTTTCTAGCAGAGAAAGAAACAACCAGGTGGTGGAAGAAAAAGTCCTCTCGTTACAAAGATTCCACAAAACCGAGTCTCGAAAGCGGGGATGGCAGAGGAAATGTTTGGAGGAAGTCTACGCCTTCTCCTTGGCACGGACGCGTCTGTCCTGTTTCTCCAGCGAGAGAAAAAAAAAAATGTTCAAGCACTTTTTCCTGAAACAAGTTTGGGTCCCAGAGAGAGAGAGAGAGAGAGAGAGAGAGAGGGGGGGGGGGGGGGGGGGGGGGGTTTCTGTTTGTTTCTGGTTCTATTTGTTTTATCTTAAAGAAGCAGCTTGAGGTTATTTTCATCATATAAACGCTACTGAAAGCCGGAACCTTTAAATAAACATAGCCTACTTTATTGTCCGGCAGTAAAACACAATTAGCCTACACGTCAGTACCTCATTTACTAGCCTATAGTATTTCACCGCCCTTTAAAATGATTTACAGAGGCCTATAACAATAATAATAATAATATTGAGGAATCTTTACGCCAGATGAAAAACAACACTTTTAACTCCAATAGAAAACATAGCCTATTTTTAAACATAACCTCCACTGAGTGTTTTTCTCTTCAAATGGATAAGGCATAGTAGTAATAGCCTATAATATATAATATCTCTGATAACAACATCTTGGTTCATGTTAGCAAGGGCAAGCAGGCATTTAGGCCTACATTAACAGAGATGCCTAACCAAAAAAAAAATTTGAAATGAGAATGCAGCCTATATTAATGTCTAATATGACAACATTTTCATTACTGCTGTCACGTGTTACTGGATTTGAATACTATATGAAAAAGTTAATAAAAACAAAAAGTATTAGGAATGCTATAGAAAAATGTCCTCTTCTTCATCCTGCACCATATCACTCCATGTTTTGATTTGTCTTTGCATGCAGGTGATGTTAGCATGCCTGATGAGACACCCTCCCCTAAAGGCAACATAAGGGCGACATGTGTTTAGTTAACATGAATCCTGTCTGTTACTAACTTATGACACCTGAGAAATGCTTGGGTCAAACAGACTTTTTAAAGTTCTAATGTCAGTGTGCATTCAACATTTAAACCTCCTGCTTTAATGATTTCTCAAGCAGAAAGAAGAAGAATTTCAGAAGAAAGGAAAACAAATCGTAAGTTTAAGGGTGGTGATGGAGCAGTGGATAAGACTATTCGGTGTGATAGATACGCGTTCAATCCCCCACGGTGACCCATCCACCATTGTGTGCCTGAGCAAGACACTGAACCCCTAAAGTTACACTCAAAAAAATGATTCAAGCCCTTCTTAGAGGTGACACATTTAAATATAATTTGCTTTATTTAAATATATCTATTTTATAGCATATGTATATGTATTTAAGTTGTTTAACAAAAAAACATATTAATAGCTTCACGTTAGATCGCCAAATAAAAGTTTAATTCGGGACTGCTCTTTGTGCATGTGCGAGACATCGCGCTCTTTCAGCCCAGCTCTCCATCCACTGGCTGCAACCAACACGAAGGCAACATTTGGGGGACGCTGCAAAATAAATGGTGCAACTCCACTACTTGGTAAGTGTTCGTTTTCTGTAGTAACAACATTAGAAAGAGCCTAACTGTCAAATAACGTTCATTCCGTAATACTGACCGAGATGTGTGCAACATTTAAGCGAGCAGAATTTCACTCTTCACAGTTGGCGGGAGTTGGCTGGCTAACGTTAACTTTAGGTGGCTAGCTTATGCTTTGTGTACTTTTAACATTACTATTTAACGTTAGTGACCGTTAGACGCCGCATTGACTGCTTGGGTAAATTGTTGCAGTAACGTTACGTCGACGCTATATTGGACGAATAAAAGTAACAAGGAACTTAGCTGCGGATTTGCTGTTTTGTGTGGGTGTACGCGTGTGCACGTGTGTCCAATCTGGTGGCGACAGGCGTTTAGCATGGACGAAGTGGTCAATGCCACGTAACAGTCGTTTAGGTGTCGAGGCTGTAGGTGCAACATTATTGTCCTAGTTGCTTATGGCTGCCGAGACCTGGCTTGACACTGGGCAGCTGCGTGTGTGTTTGTCATACAACCAGGGGCGAACTGGGACAAAAATTCAGCCCTGGCACTGTGGCCACGCCAGCCCAGCTTGCCACGCATCCCCACGAACACACTATTCACTACTTGGGCTACATTTGTGTACAGAAATAATATAAGCAGTAGTCCTACTGTATGTAAGAGCAAGGGCGCCACTTTGTGTTGAAAATATGTGGTGACATATAAGGTCTGAGAATAGTGGTGTGATGAAAGGCTTTGATCACGAGAACAAGACGAGAAGGTATTTTAACACAATTTTGAATAAATATTCAATGATAAAATGTATGAGTTGGGGGTGTGCGGCTCCTCCCCCAAAAGATTTTGAGCATTAAACTGTTAATTTCCTGCATTCTGGAGACATTTTCTGCTCCAATATATGGAGTAAAATGGAATATAATGCAGTAATCAGTAGCTTTTTTTCTTGGACTATGCACATTTGTTTATTTAAATTGCAGTGCCTGTTTTATTATTGTGCAAATAAACCTTTCTCAAAGCATTTTCATTTGTAATTTAACATTTCTTGTTCCAAGCTATTTTTCAGAACATATTTAACCAATGGTAACAGATTTGTAACATTTCATGTATGTGACTGGCACACAATGCTTACTAAGAGCACACGTTTAACAGATTTACACATGCAGTTCAAACAATGGCTGTCCATCTGAGTATGTTGAAGAGTCTGTGTGCTCTCAGTTTGTCTGCTGTCACTGTCTTTCTCTACTACAGAGTCATTTACAACCCGAACATTTTTGTGTGACAGTTTTCTTCCTTCCTCTACCACCCTCCCTGTCTCTGCTGGGCCTACAGTAGCATCCTTCCTCCCAGCACTAGTAGCTTACAAGAAGACCAGGGCTCTCCGTCTGTACCGATTCCAGCAACATCCATGAACACAGCAGCCTATAGAATATTGGAATACACATGAATAAAAACATTACTCACTAGCCTACTTAATTCTGCTCTCCTTGCCTTCACTTCTAATATTTCCACACAAGCACGCACATAAACCTCTGCTGCAAACACAGAGGCATGCCCTACCTCTTTCTTTTTCTCTCTCCCCCTGTATTTATCAGCCCTGTTGACTTTCTTCATCAGCAGTGGGCTGTTTTATAAAGTGGACGAAATGACACAGCAATTGCGATTTCCACCCGCAATACCGTTTTTACCTGCGGGTGCGCGGAGGGGGCTTGTTAATGAGGAAGCCAACGGAAACCAACACCAACATTGTACCCAGTTGCACCTGCATCAAAGTGTTCACTGTAGCTTTACCTGGTCCGTGCTTGTGAAATATCCACCGTCTGAGTCTTGTAACGAAATGGATGATTATTTCTCTGTTTCTCTGCAAAATGCTTAAATGGGTCGCCAAATATAGTTGGGCAGCCGTTAATGTACCCAAGTAAAGCTGATGTGTGGGAAACACTGATATTAATATCAATCTGACCAGTCCACCCCAAAACAAATAGTCCGGCCCCTCTGGCATATGCCAGAATTGCCAGGTGGCCAATCCGCCCATGCATACAACGCCAGGGTGGCAAAGAAAGGATGAGGAATAGAGGTCTTTGGCTCAGCAGGTTTGGTTAAGCCGCCTATGATTTCTGTGCCTTTATTTTCATATAGGGAGAGCGGTGGAGACAACTCAGGAAGCACTACCCTTTGCGCCGCTCAGAAATACTGCAGAGCGCCTCTCTCAAAGTTCAAATAATTTAAACTCACCTCGTTTGGCGCTGACCTTTTAACGGTTCTGGGCGCAGCCAAAGCCAGAAGCATTGATGAGCTATACCTGCTCTGCACTTTGCCTCTGTGCTGATGGGCAGGTGGGTGGAGCAGAACTGAAGTTTACCTGTGAAATTGTTAATCTGTCAGTAGGCTTACATTTAAAATTATTGTATAATTTAACAACTTATGCTACATTTAGCCATATTACAGTGTTCAGTGTTTACATTTATCATCAAATTCTTCTATTCCATCTGAGTTTTCTGCATCACAGAAATTATATGGCCATATTGTTGGTTGAAGTAGAGCTCCTGTGCATTAATTTGTATTTGACTACAATTAATAATTACTTTTATGTGGATAACGTTACATCTGCTGAGCATTTTCTCCATTACTCACACCTCTAATATATGTATCTCATCTTTTGCTGTTCGATAAGTTGTAGAGCTGCCTGTGGCAACCTCCTACTGATGGTAAGTAAAAGACTACTTGCTCAATGCTGGTACAAGCTGATTTGTATCTTATTCTCCTTTTAGTATTTTGACATTACAAATGATCCCTTATTCCTACATGGTGGTAAGTAAAGCTAATAGAACTAGATGTTTCAATCCCTTTAGTAGGAAACTCTTGAAAGTAGCAGTCGGTGTGAAGCGGTGAAAAGGAGGAGGGTAAGGTATGTCATTGGGGTCATCAGATGGGCACCCTGCTTCATCAACGTTTCTCTGATTTAAGCACACGACGTCTCCAGAGGGCTCAACAGTGTACCCAGCGTCCCAGGTACACCCCCCTCCATGCCATACTCTCTATGTCCCTGACGGGCTCTGCATGGCAGGGGCGTCCTTCTCCCTGAGTCAGGCCTAAGCCTGACTGCATACCATCTGTGTCTATCTTGCTGCCCAGTTGGGGTCCTTACGCTTGATCCAGAGCCAGTTACTGCTTATTTTCAGCAGCACTTGACATGGAGTTGATGGCCTGTTGGAGGGAGCGACCTTTCACCCCTATTTTTTTTTTAGCAACCTTATGGTAGATGTGCCAACAAATCCCCTGCATCCCACTTCTACTGGGAAGATGCTATTTGTTTTTTTCCCCCCTCTCATAAGCCTCTTCATACCCATCTACCCATGGTACTGTTAATTCCACAACATATGCCAGTTTTGTTGTTGGAGACCACAGGACCAAGTCTTGCCTGAGTGTTGTAGCCTCCATTTCTGGGGGAAACACAAGTTTCTTATGAAGGTCCAATTCCAGTTTCCAATCCTTTTTCTTCTCCAGGCCCTCCCAGTTGGTACATCTCCCCTGCTTGACCATTGAGACGGCTTTGACATGTTGCTCTCCTTCCTCCTGTCTCCTGACTTCTTCTACCACTAGGTGTCTCCTCTGCGCCGATGTTACTTT